GGCAAACTATTTGTTGACATGCGTAACACATGCCCCAACCAATGTATTCTATGGAGGTCAACCACTTGCTCTAGTGGGTGACCACAGTTAATGACACTTCTGCGCCAGCCCTCAACATTGCTCGTCCGGTTGCCCCACCAGATTCGTGCAATGCTGCGAAGACAGCGCCATTCAAATACCGACAGTCTATCTTTATCCCGTTTTCGTAAATGCCAAGTTTCTGTGCCGTATAGCTGAACTGGCCGAACTGCCGCAGCAGACACTCAACCCTTCACGGACAGCAGGATATCGCAACGGTGACACAGATGTCTGAAGTTGGCAACAGCTAGTCAAGCCCTTCAATGCAAGCTGATACTTCATCCGTAATGCGTCCACCGGGTGAGATATAGCTACCCAATTGTTCCAATACTTCCTCAGTTAGAGGGAAGCTGGGAGCTAGATCAACCCAGTCTTGTAAGAATATTCTGCTTTTTGCAGATGCAAAACCCAAACCGAACGTGGTTACACTAGCACTCAAACTATCTAGGTCAGAGAGCCTGTACCCGGGAGTAACTCGATGCCACTATCCCCACACGAGGATAAGGCTGTTTCCATAATTGAATCTATAACAAAGTTAAACAGAAAAGGAGAGAGCGAACAACCCAGACAAACAGCACTTTCCGTGGTGAACTCGGGTGAAGAAGTGTCGTACTCAGACTCGGACTCAGCTCCGGTTGTTAGTATAAAGAGATCGCAAGTCTGAAATACACTTCTTGGGCACACCGTTTGACTACGGACGATCAGTAATGATGCCCGAGAACGTGGTAGTTGACCTCTGAAACAAACAAAGTATCGTATTTCACCCATTACTAAATAAAGTTATCGACATGAATTATCCTGTGGCTATACAGGTCGCACTCGGCAGTGCAAAGGGCCGAGTTGTACACACGAAAAATGCTGTGGGGGTGGGGTGCTAACTGGTGCCAATCTCCCAGGGATTTACACGGATTCAACTTCAAGATCGACGTGTCCTTACGTAGGAGCAAGTTGGTTAAATGTAAATGTAAGGTTGTACAGTACAGTAAGACAGAAACACAAAGTACGAAAGCAATCGGAAGCTATAATTATCTCACAATAAATGTAAACACAGTTCTCCCGAAGATTCAATCAAGAAGCTACCATCAGCAATTTCTTTCAGCTCCCCAAGTGATCAGTGAAAGTCGCCAAGATGGAAAACAATAACACGTTTCAATAGCTCCATCCGTCAGTTGATTCACGTCAGGATGACCAATTGTCGAGAAAACGGAGCCCGATGGGACTTACCGCACAGAGGAAGAAATTGACTGAAGGCGCTACCAACGCGCCCATCAGGAGAGGTGCAGCGACAAAATGAGCCGCACCACATATCAACGGATCCGCGGTAGCATTGTACGAACGAAAGTAGCGAGACAGATAGGAACCCAACAGGACACCGATTATCCCCGACAAGCATAAGCCGGCACCAAAAATCAATGAAACACTGGAAGAGAGGACAGAATAAGTAAACGCGATACGTGCCGTTTCAGTCTGAACTATTATAGATCCACTATAAAACAGTAAACTGCAGTTAGGACAAAAAATCTTCAATCGTAGTTGATACTAATCAGAAACCTTTTTTCCTTTGTGATAGTATTGAGTACTGCACTGATTGGTCATAAGCATGACAGACAGTTTGCTTTAGTACAGATTTTCACTAAGACTAAACACTCACACGGCGGTACCCTGCCTAGATTGCCGAGTGTCAGCACACATCCAGATGACTGAAGTTTTGGGTATCCTGTGAAATAGAATGACGAAACCCCTAAGGAGAGAATCCACGCGAACGCCACTACCCACGATGTGAGTCTGAAACCGAATACCCTGGCGGAGCAAGGTTGAACCTGATGCCCCGGGTTGTAGTCACATGGGGCGCGAGTGGTCGAGTGGAAGGTTACTGAAATAACCACCGGAGGCTCCTGAGTTCGAACCCCACCACCGTCGCCCATCTCATTATCTGTATTTACCCAGGCGGCCTTTGTATGGCCGCGGCTCCGTTCTTGAAAGCTTATTGTACGTTTCTGTACATAATAAACAAAACATATGTAAAATTAGGTATTTAAAAACACCAAGCACAAACTACCGCTATTTGTGTTCCTATGGGTCACAGTGCGATGCAGTTCATTCAGAACAAACACTTGATTTCTATTATGATAACAGCCACGTAATACTTTGCTTCCAACTTCAACTTCTCAACATACTCTAACCGAAATGAGACAATTCTGTTTCCAAAACATTTTCAACGGACCGAAAAAGACTCTCCTGTAGCTGGCTGGTTGCAGAAACCGAAAAACAGGGCAGTTAACCGACAGCATTGGTATTTTTTAATCATCTCTTATTATGTCTGCGTGTTCGAAGGGGAGCGTATGCACAGTTTGACTGTGCACTGTGTTAACCATAGTGATCCATTTTCCTTTCCCGGCTTACTCCCTATCAACGTTACGCATTGGTTATTAGTATGCGCATATGTTATGAACTAGGCAGCAATCAGCCAAGTTCGCTTTATTGCACTCTGTTGCACAAAAACGATGCACCAGTTTTAATCTAGACCTCAGTACAACAATTGAACGGACGCTAATATTTGGTTTACCACTCAAAGTACCAGGGCTCAGATAACCAGTTATTGTAACTCAATAATGGGTTCTTGTAATTAAAAGAATCTGAATCATCTGGTATCTCACGCACGATGATTAAAAAAACATGCAAAATGCACCCTGACTGTTTAATCATTTCTTCGAGGTAACAGAAATTTAACTACTTGTATATCAATCAAGCGAGTTATTAGACACCAGTGAGTCACACGTGACCATCGGGTACGTAGCGCGTACACCCCAAACACAACCGATTTTTATGAGACACTTGTGTGATGAACAGCAAGCAGATGGGGAATGAACTTCGTAATCACGAAGACCTGCTGTTCGGTCATGGAAACGGGTTACTTAATCCCTGGGACTTGGAGTGGCGAGCCACCTAAGGCCCCGCTAGGTCAGGCTTGGTATTGAACCGGACGCGACAGCAAAAAGCTGCCTGTACCACCAAAGTTGGATGGTGGTGGTTAGGATTGAACCTCTGACAATAGGATCCGAAGCATGCCGATGACGTCGACCCAACCACCGTCGTTAAATGTCAAACCAAAGCTTATTCATTTGTTAACTCGCACTTACTTGTACGCTTTCCATGCGTTCGGATCGTCATGTGTGGCATTCAGACCAAGCTGGATCAGTTGCACGCCAAACCAAGTGACCGCACCCAGAATGAATGTGGAGCAGGTGAATCCACCGCTGACTAGCATGAATGCCGGATTGAGTATAAGCGAGCGAAGATCAGTAATCCATGAAGTGGTTTGTAATCGAGCCGCACCTTCTGCCTGACCACGAGGTGGGTCCTGGTGTAGATAAACCAGTAATAGCACACAGACTATGCCAAACAATGGGGTAATGCGAAGTGACCATTGCCACTGGTTTGTCAACCGAGTGACCGCCCAACCGAGCACATATCCACATCCACTGTCACATGGAAATAATCCAAGGTTTGTGAGAGCGAATGCATAGCACAGTGAATCAGGGAAGGTAGTGCGAACGACCGAAAACAAAGAAACAAACAATCAAAATCAGTGCTAGCAATCAAAAAAACGAAATGAATGCATGGATACGAATATCTGATAATCAAGTGACATGATGACGGTGGCAAAACTCGATCGTGACAGCCTTTGAGTGCACTTCTAAGCGGAGCAGAACGGCATCATAGTCCAAATGTCAGACCACTTCGTTGAATATGTACCGCTAATTAGAGCAACCATCCCGATAAGCATCTCGCTTCTCGTGGTCACAACCAATAAGGAGGCTGGGTCAGGATCTAAGATCTAAGATCTTATCCCGAGTAGGACAATATGGCACAGCGGGTGGACAAAGACTCGGAGGCATTGGGAGAAGAGGGAGGAATTTCGCTATTATGTTGAAGATTATGCTACAATGCACAATTTTGAAAAGATAAAGGGATAAGCAGAACATTTTTGGTAACTGTAACCCCGGGGAGACTTAGTCACATAAGCCGCGTTAGGCTTCCTAATTGGGGACGTCAGCATCAGCNAGCATCAGCGTAATCAAGGGTTAGAGACACGGAGTGATATGGCTGAGTATTGTAACCAGAGGGCGCTCATACATCTACTTATTATCCCCGCAAGTTTAGCCTTCATGAATTCTCAAATTTCACTCTGACACTGATTTCAGCATTCCAATCTACCCTTTACTTCTTCATCCAAACGGGAAGTCATGAGACGGCAACCAATACCANTCATGAGACGGCAACCAATACCAGTGCACGAAAGTGCTTGGTTAATGGCTGTAAAAGCTGAAACTGAAGCTGGTCACGTGCCGACGAACGTGCTTGACTTCCGAAAGTAGCGAAAGCTATGGTTTGTTACGCATATCAGCATGCAGGATTCCATGGGGCGCGATCTTTTCCGAGGTAGTTGGGGACTGGCGGATTGTCAAAGTAGGACCTGGAATGAGTGTATGAAAGTACTGAGTAGGAAACTTGGTCTTATCTAAGTGACATTAGGCTTCTGACACGGGGACCAAGATATCAGTCTAACCAATGATTAGAAGCACCATGTGAAATGTTTGATAAACGTAAACAATGGTGCCCATACATCTACTGATTTTTTTTTAATATTTCGTTTGCCATCATTAGCATTATCGTCATCGTACAGGGAAGCGAGCTTCACTGATCGCTGTCAAGCTCGCAATGCATATGCATTGGGATTTGATGGACGGGTACTGCTGGGGTGCCCAGCCACGATTAGGGCTCTCAGCCAAAGTCTTTCGTTCCGACAAGAACTTAGCTGCGGGTGAAGCGAAGTGGAGGCCCATTTACTTGGATCAATTGCTCCTCCGTCATTTTTTAACCGACTGAAGGGTAAATTCTAGTTGCACCCCTAACTTGGAGGACCAGGAGACGACTTTGTCCGACCTCTACTCTTCGACCTTCCAGGAATGATTATATCTTCGGCCTGTCAAAAGTCATCCTGTGTAGCTCGTTGGGTCAGAGATGTGCACATGCCATCATACCACGTCAAGGTGCAGTCTCGTTGTGATGATACTTCGTATCTCTATTTTGGCACTGGACTCATTAGTTTACTTCTTTTATTTACACCTTCATTTTGATGCGGCTAAATGGACGACGAAGACGAAAGACAGCACCCAAAACCGGCACATGGTTGATGGTAGGTTGAACGGAAACTGCAACTGGGAGACAATAATAGAAGAATTTTAAATGGTGAATTTCGTGGTGTATAGAGCAAATGAAGCGTGAACTGAAGAGTTAGCGAATATTGTAATGCTGTTTCGACTTGCTTCGTATTCATCAGCAGCGGTGCGAATTCGGTTTTCTTTTTCTTCATTTTTCTATATACACGATGTAGCAATACGCATATTTGTATGCGATAAATCCCCCTCGCTTCGTTTCGGTTGGACAAATATAAATAACCAAATTTTGGTGTTCCATTTCTTTTGAACTGGACAATGCGATTGTAAACGTTTCATTACCAATCAGGGTGACCGTTTCGCTCTGAGATTCCCAGCTGCAAAACCACCCAATGTACATATACACTACTATGTATACTATACCACATCTATTCACGGTTATTCACTGCTAACTCTCCCGCCCTTCTTAACAGATCAAACATTAGCTTTTATTGGAGTGGGCGGGTGGGGGGTTACACTGCCTGACGCGAGCCATATATAGCGTAACGAGTATAGCGGTACGAGAAACTCGGCACAGTGCACAGTAATAATTCGTTTCTTTTGGCACAAAATTGTCACCGAGATCAAAGAATGGGTTTATGATACACCACGACGAGACTGCACCTTGACGTGGTGTGATGGCTTGTGTGCCTCAATGACCCTGCGAGCTACACAGGATGGCTTTTCACAGTCGTAGATCCAATCATGACTGAAAGGACAAAGAGTAGAGGCCAGACGAAGCTCAGTCTCACAAAGCCGGCTGCTTAGGCACCTCCAGGCTTCCTTCCTTCCATCCACACCCTCCCCTGGACGAATCAGAAAGGCTTTTGGCGGACCACATGCAATCCCAGCCAACCGGACGGACAGCGGAGATCGCCTACTTCAACTCTGCA